GGTTTAGTTACATCTGTTTTAGCTAGGCAAGTTTATCATTTTGTTGTTCTCTTTTAGGTTCTTCATCTTTCACAAGAGGCTGCATAGTTCTTTAGGCAGTGACTATTCGAATAAATTCATCAACAACATGAAAATCTTATTGTTTCGATTACTGAATTTAGTTTCCGGTTAGACCGGTTTCAATTTCAACCAACAAATGTTTTCAATTTTATTGGAGTCCAACATTTTACCTAATTATGCTCTTTATGGATTCCTATATTTTCATGTCTTGTAAGAACATAATCTCTACAGAAATAGCCACTTATAAGTAAAAAACAATTCTCATAGATCTGAAATATTTCTAGTATGCCAAGTATTACTACAAGAAACATTTCATTTAAATTAAAAACATAGCAGAGTTACTCTTTAGACAAAACTTGGTGGCAAAAAGCCCAAAATGAGCATTTTGTAGACTGTGTCTATGCCTCTTTAGGTGTGGACTTGCCTTTGCCTTTGCCATAAGGACTGTAAGGAGAGAAGCCATTGCGACTTTGCTGCTTCGCCTTCCTCACCTTCCCAGCTCCACTTTCTATACCAAGATTCACTTTCGGTGGCGAAGAGAAACAGAACGATGCCGCAACCGCCTGTGACACACAAATGTCAAAACCCGAAATGTGCCAACCCAAAACCAAAATCTATGCAAGAACAAATATTCATTGTTGTTTTACCTGGAGATCAAGTCGGTGAACATTAAAGATGTCTTTCAAAGAGTGTGAATTGTAAGCTGAGATATAAGCCCGGTATGCGTCCTTGGCTAACCTGTTCATATTATAATCGTTGGCAACATATTTCTCCTGCGGGACAGAACAAGAAATGTTGTTATTACAACGAATCGAATGACAAATGGAAAGTTATAAACCCACAAAAAAACTGAATCAGAACTATTACCAGCGCAGATCGAACATTCAAAAGCTTTTTCTCATTGAACTCAAGCTCTTTAACAGGTACTTTTGCAGCCTGTGGGTTAAAATGTCACATCAATGATTCAAAAAGGATTGGTTTAACCTAACAAAAGATTCAAAAGACCATTCTTACCTTAAGGTAGCGAATGAACTGAAGTTCCTCAGGAATCAAGACAAGCAATGCATTTCCCTTCGCTCCTTCTCCACGAGCTGTTCGACCAACCCTATGGATATATTCCTGAAAACAACAGCACCAACGAAAAATCAAAGATGCACATAAACAGTCAAGCGGGATATAGAAACACAGAATAGAGCGAAGTGTTTCTCCTACCGTTGGCTTGTCTGGAGGATCATACTGTATAATCCAGTCCTACAATAATAAGATTCAACACAGTATGATTTCAATAAAGCTATTGAGTATGTAAAAAAGCGTTCATAGTCAATGCAAGAACCTAGTGTGGATACGTACCACGGAAGGAATATCGAGACCACGAGCAGCAACATCAGTACATAACAAGATACCTTTTTCTGCTTTCATGAAGTCGAAAAAGGTTTTAGTTCTTCTGTTTTGATCCAGCCCTCCATGGATATCACAGCTATCCACCTTGATTAGTTTCATGATTTCAGCATGGAATTGTACTGACTTGCATGTCGAGAAAAACACCATTATTTTTTTAGTTAGGTTCTTTTTCAAAAAGGAAATTAGAAGAAGAAGTCTTTTTTCACTCGGAACAACACAATAGCCTTGCTCCAATCCTTCATTTGTCACCTAAAAGTTTTGGAAACTTATTTAGTTAAATCTCCATGGCATGCTCCTTAAATTTTCATAACCAGATTATTTCTTTTGATTCATACCTTGCGTCTACCATCATCG